ACTATTACCCCACGCCCATGATTACCACTATTACCAAAATTGCCATAATTACCACTACTGCCAGGATTACCACCACAGCCATTAGACCACCACTGTCAGTATTACCATTATTATCACTATTACCAGTACTGCCACTATTATCACTCTTACCACAACTGCCAATATTACCATTATTACCACGGCTGACACTATTGCCAATACTACCATTATTATCAATACTGCTGCTACTGCCACTCTTACTACTAACTCTTACTACTATTACCACTGCTTCCACAATTATCACTATATCAATACTGGTAGTATTACTACTATTGCCACTATTACCACTACTGCCATTATTACCACTATTGCCAGCATTAACACTATTACCACCACAGCCATTAGACCACCACTGTCCGTATTATCATTATTATCACTATTACCACTACTGCCACAATTATCACTGTTACCACTACTGCCAGTATTACCATTATTACCACCGTTACCATTATTATGACACCAGACACTATTGCCAATACTGTCATTATTACCTCTTACTACTATTACCACTACTTCCACAATTATCACTATTATCACTACTGCCATGATTACCAGCACTGCCACATTTAGCACTATTACGATTACTTCCACTACACCACTACTGCCACTATTGCCAGTACTGCAACATTTAACACTATTACCATTACTTCCACTATACCACTACTGCCACTTTTGCCAGTACTGCCACATTTACCACAATTACCATTACTTCCACTATACCACTACTGCCACTATTGCCAGTACTGACTCATTTACTACTATTACCATTACTTTCACTATACCACTATTGCCTTTGTTACCCCTGCTGCCTCTATTACTGCTATTGCCATTAATCCTGCTACTGCCACTGCCAGTGGATACTATTACTATTATGGCCATTATTATTCCCGTTACCACTACTGCCACTATTCACACTATTGCCAGTACTGTCATTATTAACTCTACTGCCAGTGTTAGTACTATTATCACTTCTGCAAATTCTGCCACTAAGGCCACCATTGCCACTGCTGCCATTATGGCTGCATTACTACTGGTACTACTGTACTACTACTGGCAAATTACATTGCAGGCTGAGCTCATTTCTCTTGAGTACTTTCTTGAATGCGTTCTTGTATTTCCAGTGAACCACAGTCTGCTGGTGCTCTAGTAATGGCATCCTGCAGTGTTTTATCTGCTGTTTTAAAATGGACTTCACCTAAGAGGATTTGTTTTTGTCAGAAATGATGTCCTCCTCAGAGCTTTTTCCAGCAAATTGCTTTCCTCAAATAATATTCCTAATTTCAATTAAAGAGTAAGAGAACCTGTGGTACATAGTGAACACTGCTCTTTCTCTTTTTCTCCATCCATCTGATTATCCATCCATCTGCCATCCTCTGGTCAGTCTGTCTACATATTTGTATGTCTTGTATCAAATCCACCTGGGCTCATTTAGTTATTTCCTTCAAAATGTTCCTCCATGGAGTCTCGCAGTACATTTTGGTCACTAATGGATGACCTTATGCTGCCGCCAATGCTCCATTAGCTTTCCTGGTACAGCCTACAGAGGTCAGTCAATGGGCTCTTGACCCTAAAGAGAAATCATTGCAGTTTTAATGGACATTAAGATGACCTTGCTACTGTGGAGTGCTACAATTCAGAGCCATTCATTTTTCCACAAACTGAAGCATCAGGTTGAAGATCCTCAACAAATGTATGTCGCATTACTAAAAGGCCATCTTGATGCCGGAAATTTGTCTGAACTTTTGTCCATTTTTATAGATGACAGACACTTGACAGCCATATATATATATAACAGTTTTGGTAGCCGTCTGTCCGCTGTAAATAGCTGTAGCCATAACAGTTTAGAGACCCTGGGCAGAACATGCAGTGCAATTTAATGAGGGCTGATGTCCCTGTGGCACAGCACCATCACTTACTGAGGATGTATAGTGCTGGAAAAAAGTATTTGCCCTTCCCAATTTCATCCAATGGCATCCATGGGAGAGCTGCAAGGTGCAAACCACGGATCATCAAAAAGAACACAAAGACATTTGCCAAAAAACATCTAGATGATCCCAAACTTTTAGGATAGTATTCTGTTGACCACTGAGTCAAAGGTGGAACGTTTTGGAAGACATGGGTCCCTTTACATGTGGTGTAAAGCTAACACTGCATTCCACCATAAGAACATCATACCAACAGTCAAACATGGTAATGGTAGTATGATGGGGCTGCTTTGCTTCTGCAGGACCTCAACATCTTCTCATAACTGCCTGTCAGTTTGTGACCTAAAGCTCAAGCACAGTTGGGTTATGCAGCAGAACAATGATCTGAAACACACAAGCAAGTCCACCTCTGAATAACAAAATTAAGGATTTGGAGTGACCGAGTCAAAGTCCTGACATGAATTCCATTGAGATGCCATGGCAAGACCTTAAAAAAGGCAATTCATGTTCGAAAACCCTCCAATATAGCCAAATTAAAACAATTCTGCAAAGAAGAGTGGGCCATCCTTTACAGTGATGTAGAAGACTCATCACAAGTTATCACAAACTGCAGTTGTTACTGCCAATGGTGGCACAACCAGTTATTAAGTTTGGGGTGCAATTACTTTTTCACATGAGTGATATAGGTTTTGAATAAATCTTTATCTTCAATAAATGGAATGATCATTTAAAAGATGCATTTTGTGTTTAGTAATGTTGTCTTTTTCTTATTAAAATGAAGTGGATGATCTGAAACAATTAAGGGGCAAATACTTTTTCACAGCACCAAACTATTTTAAAGATGAACTTTCGAATGTCTCCAAAACGTTCTGCATCAGTCCAGACACAGTGTTGATGATTTTCACCTGCTGCATTTATCAAATGTAGTGGAAAAGTGATTTTAATTCATTCACTTATTCAAAAAACCTTAATGTGACTCATATGTTCATATTACGTATTATGTAGACATGTACTGAGGACCATAAATCTGAGACCACTAGTAAAAAACAACTCTACAAAAGATTTTCATCACAAATTGTATTATTATCATGGCAATTTGAGTGAAAAATCAAATGCTGAGAAATTTGAACATGAATTTCAGACTTCATTAGTATTTGGTACGGTTTTGCTTTAATGACTGTGCTTTCGAGCTGGCATGGACTCCACAAGTTGGTTAAAAAGCCTTTTATGAGCTGATCAAATCCACCTCAGAGTCATGTGAATACAAACTTCAGTGGAAATAATGAACTAAAAACAAATCTGAACCTTTTGTGCAAAGGCCTCAAAGGGTCACAAATTTGTTAAAATTTTAATAGCAACCTACAAATAGTGTAGAATCTTGAAGATTTCTTCTTCCTGTCATAAATTTTCTTTGTTTTTTTTTTTTCCTGACATTCTAAGGGTCCTCTGAAATGATATCAGCTGTATTGATCTTTAGGTAACATGCATTGAGGGCTTATTAATGCCTTGTTCTAAAGCCCTAATTAGACACTTCTACATGGTTTATTCATTATGACCTGCAAATTATTCAGTATGAATCCACCTAAATTCACATCATAGACATGTATAATTGGAAAAATGTTATCCCTACAGGTTCTATGTAGCATCTGGTGATGTCTGAAGTTTATTGCATTGGAAGTAATAAGAGTTTATTAACAGTTTAATAAGTCAGTAATACTCAGCATGTCAGTAACTATTCAAGATATTTTGATTGCAAAAATTTTGAAAGCTTAAAAGTTAAGTTTATCCAGGATGGGTTGTTAAAATGGAATGAAACTAACTTAAAATATTCCCAGATTGTACATTTTTGGCAACAAAAAAGCCACAATCTTTATACCAGAATATGAGTCATAAATGAAAACTTGTTTAGCCTTTAATTAGTAATTTACAGTGTTATCTTAAAGTGTTAGTGACTTATTGAACTCTTATTAGCTCTAAAGCAATAAACCCTGGCAGTCAGTGGACACTAGGTGACTTGATAATGGATGCTCAATAATATGCAGAACAAAGTCCTAAGAAAGTGTTTATTGCACAATGTTACAAATAATAATGCAAGTATTTGTGATTTCCACATAAGAGACCTTCAGTTATGTACCAATGTATGATATAATGAATAAAGATGATTGTACAGTGAATAAATAATCTAGAAATCTCTAAAATGGACTTAATTAAACAACGACTTTAATAAAACCCCCTAAAATAAGCGTTTTTCAAATAGTATTTTTGTGTTATCTTTTTTGAATCTAAAACCTATTTCTGGTACATTCAGCCAAACAATTGTATCCTTAATTTCCGGATGTTCACCGTCCATTCTTTTCCTGGTCTCAAAAGACAATGAGCTGTCCGAGGTGTATCCATGTTTTTGCAGAAATTGCCCGCCAACCTCATTTCTTGCTTTCCGTTTGTTTTTATTATCCCATTGTATGTCAAGCCCCAACTCTGTCACGCACACACACACCCACTCGGTGAGTTATTCTTTCTGCTCTCCTGCATTTCTGTGTATGTTATCTCTCCCACACTCCCCCTCCTTCAGTGTGGCCGGCTGTATAATCCAGGCTTCAGGCTTCTTTACACTGGCCAGTTCTAATAGGATTGAGATGGCCAATCGCAAGCAATGAACCGGCCATCGCTGTATTTCTACTGGCCAGGGCGGAGAAGTGGGTGGAAAATATCCATGCTCGGTGGGTGGGGCTTGTAGAGGATGCCTGGAAAGAATGATGATCTCTTTAGTCCAATGTTGTGGGTGAGAGAGGGAGGGCGAGAGAGCGGGAAAGGGAAGTCCTAGAGAAAAGTGACAAAACCCATGAGTGCCAATAGGCAGGGTGATAGAAAACATCTGACGGTGTTGGATTGGTGAACTTTAACCTTTCAGCCTGCCGATTTTTGCATCTATCCCCCACCCTCTATTCCTGTGTGAGTGCGGGCGGGTGAGCATCTCTGGGCCTGGGTCCTGCTGGATGGGGATTTGTTAGACTGGCTGGTGCAGGTCAAGGAGTGGCCATGGCGGTGGCATTGGATGCAGTATGGGTGCGGGTGAAGGGGGTTTGCAAACAGAACGGTCTGCTGATACTCTCAGTGCTGGCTGTCATCATCGGGTGCCTGCTGGGGTTCTTTCTGCGCACCAAGCAGCTCTCTGAGCAGGTAAGTGCTACTGTGAAGTAGCCTCAGCCCTAAAACAACCCTCCTAGTCCCTACACAGTCCTATTCTCTAATCCAGGCCTACTGACCATCCACAAGATAGCTCTATTAAGCTATCTCCAAATCAACACTTCTGACCATACTCAACGTTCTAACCCTTCTGACCAACTCCAATACACCTCCATTCACCATCTCTAAACAAATACCAATCCCAAAAATATCCCCCTTCACCACCTCCAAACCTACCCTTCTTACTAACCCAAACTCACCATCTCTAAACCAACTCTGCTGACCAACCACCACATACCTCCACTCACCAACTCCAAACCAACCCAAACACACCTCAACTCACCATCTCCAAACCAATCCTTCTGACCATCTCCAACATACCTTTGATGGCCGTCTCCAGTCCACCCCTACTGACCTTAATTCAACCTTACCCATCCTCTCTGACTTAAACTAAACCTCAACACAACCTTACTCTCTATCCAAAACCCTACGCCAGAGGACTTCTTCCCTGGATCTTGAATCCAGGTTCCAGTCCTGAAATTTCTAATCAGATTGATTGGCCTCGTACATGCTAATGATTACAAAATCCAGGCCTACTGACACTGCCTAGCCCCAAATTAGCTCTACTCCCCATTCCTAACCTGGCCTTGCTCATCTTACCTATCCTCCACCATTTCGAATCCAGCTGTAATCATCATTCAGAACCCAACCAAACTTATCATCCTCAACTCACCGTACCTAACACAGGCCTACTCACTACCCTTTTTACAACCCTATTTACCATGCCCACTATAGTTTTACTCACTTTTCTTATTATTAAACACATTCACCATTCTTAGCCTGTCCCAACTCACCATTCCTAATACATTCCTACTCTCCATCCCACTCAGCTTTACCCATCATGCTCCAAACCCAAATCACCATGCTCACACAATCTTACCCAACATACTCAACCCAACTCAGCTCATAATCCCCACTCAGTTTGCCCAACATACTCAACCCAACTCAATTTACCCTCCCCACTCAGCCTTACTCACATACTCAACCCAACCCAATTTACAATCCCCACTCAGTCTTACCCAACATACTCAACCCAACCCAATTCACAACCCCCACTCAGTCTTACCCAATATACTCAACCAAACACAATTCACAATCCCCACTCAGTCTTACCCAACATATTCGACCCGACCCAATTCACAATCCCTGCTCGGTTTGCCCAACATACTCAACCCAACTCAATTTACCCTCCCCACTCAGTCTTACTCAACATACTCAACCCAACTCAACTCACAATTCCCACTTGGTCTTACCCAACATACTCAAGCCAACCCAATTTATTATCCCCAGTATTTCTGTTCAACTCATTCCCAAACAAAAAATATAGTTCTCATGCTGAGCACTGCCCTACTCACTATGTCTCCTCATCCCATTATCAAACACAGCTCAATTCAACATCCCCATCCCCAGCTGCCAGAACAGTTGGATTACTGACATACTTGCTACAACTGCAGCTACGAGCAGCCACTGTGCTTCAACTGCTGCTTTCTTACCTCACAACTTTCCTGCTCCTTGTCCTCTAAATTCTACCTCCTAACTGATACCCCAACCACTATTCTTACATTCTAACCCCTAACATCTAACCACCATTCCCCCTACACTGTCTGTACCTTTGCATGTCTTAATTATGATCTGTATTCTGCTATTTCTCTCTAAAACACTATTGATGTTTGTGATATATTGTTGATATTATCATATCATCTATCTATTTTTTCACTCACACTGTTTCAATACTACTGTTAAATATTGTTTTGTGTGAACATCAACTGGAATGGTCTAAAATTAGTTGGAATCAAATCTTGGTACATAAACTGACATTAATAGTTAGGAACATTTTTGCATTTTCTGGTAAAATTGCTATTTTGGAAGTTCATACATTTTTTTATTGGACTGCGTTAAATCTAACTTCAGCCTGGAGGATTTAAATTAAATCCACATACCACTTACACTCAAGGTCAACTCCACATGGAAGCATAGAATATTCCCACAAGCACAAAAACAGCCGCTTATCTAAAGATCATCTGAGCTGGCATATTGGCTCCTAAAAGCATATTGACTCTTTTAATTGAACCTTTCTTTTTTTATCTATTTGTGAAACCTTGCGATTTGAAAAGGAAAGCTGGGCGTTCAAAGCAAAGCTTGTCCAGAAAAGGGCTAATTCTGTCCATGTGGACCCTCTGAACCAGCGCAATCAACAAACTGTGCTGTTTCTTTTGTTCAGCTGTTAAACTGACGCTCACCAAAACCTTATTCTTTTTGGAATTTGTCTAAAAATAAAAGCACCACATGCCATTTGCAGTGGTGCTCAGGGATTACTGTCCAATCATACAAATGCTCTTAGTAATTGTATATTAAGCAAGAGAGCTGCTTAGCCTCAGTGCAGGTTAAAGCCCACGGGAGATGCTGTCTGTCATTTCAACGAGATTGAAACAGGCTCTTAAATTTGGAGTCCATTTTTCTGAAAGATATTTAAGAGATGGCAGAGCATTGTGAGTGACCGCAACATATAGGAGATTTAGTTTGCAATATTAAATTGTAAACACCTCATCTTCACAGCTGTGATACAGAGCAAATGTTGCCAATGGCAGTATCTTCCAGTATTTGTTCCAGTTAACATGCTTTAGATAGGTATAGGATTTTTTTTATTTTTTTTTTTACCTAGTCTAGAGATGGCCTGTGGATAATTGGCAAGTGCAGATTTCTAGCCTTTGTCCTATTTATGGAACCTCTTAACATACCTCATCTGTCCCTCCTATTTACATGTTAAACATGATTACTTCAAATTAATGCCTTTCATAAAACGTTTACAAGGCCAAATCATGTGCAAGGGTCCCACAGGTCAGGCTTGACATCATAACAGGCTTACAAAGAACATGCATCACCATGGATACAGGGACATTACTTTGAGAAAAAAAATGACACATGAGTTGTAACAGAACCTCAGAGAACCTTGGCCAACCAGTTTAGGACAGATTTATCATAGAAGCAAAACTAAAAAATTAAGCAACCCAAGGGAATTAGGCCTTATGTTCACACTGCTGCTCCACTTTATGGATGGGCTAGCAGCCTTGTCTCAACATTGCCAATCTGGAAACTTGCATGAACTTGTATTTGTATGAAAAGCTAAGGTTAAGGTTAATAATTATACAAGCAGCTATATTTTTTTGCAATAACATTTGCTCAAAATCCCAATAAATCACTCTCACTTCATATAGTTCTTATCAATTCTCCAACAGATTGTGTTAGATGCTGTCAGGTGCCACCACCGGGTCCAGATTCTTGTATAAAGATAATTTGGGACAAGATTTTAAGAACCAATGGAACTACATTCTTAAATATCAAGGTTCCTAAATGTTTCTCAGCCTGGGTTAGTCCCAAGGGGCCACACATGAACGCCTGGGCACAACCATATTGGCCTAAATGTGTGAGGAGCAGGGATTTATTAGGGTGGGACGCGAAACTAAACTAAGTGTGATTTTTTTAAACCAATTGTGAAGGTGGAGCTCAAAGCAGGGGATGATGGTGCTCATCATCATCATCATTGGGACAGCAAGCCAGTCAGTAGAATAAATAAGTAAAAAATTCCCTCAAAAACCTCCAATTAAACATGCAGATGTGTGACACAATGACAGAGATCACAATACATATCGCTGTTGTCGGACGAAAACTTTAATTCTAATTTCCAAAATGGTAACTTTACAGTCGAAGGAAAAAACATACTTTACTTTTAATGTAAGTCAGTGGAACCAGACTTATTTTCAAGTAATTTTGGGTTGTTTGTTTTGGTCCATTCATCATGAAATTTACACACAATATAAAGAACAACAGGTATTTTTCACCTTGTTTCAAGTCAAAAACTGAAAAACAACAAAAATGGAGATAGGTTTTCTTCCGACAACAGCGATATGTTAAAAATAAGCATTATCTCTTGCAAAGGAAAAACAGTTCCCTTAGTTATTGATAGCGTTTGCTAGCTTGTTTCGCTTATGTTATCGATAGTTCTCTGGACAGTAAAACGGGCAGGATTTAGAGGAGGTGTACCCTTCTTAGAGCAGATTTTGCTGCAGACTAGGCCTGGGCATGCAGTTCCAGTAAAAGCATCCTGAAAAGGTTCTTTAGGGAACCAAAGGTGGTTCTTCTATTGCACTCAACTTTGGTCCTTCCTTGCATGTTTTAGTGCTTTTCCCTTCTTTAACACCCACTTCAACTCAGTAAAGGGTTGGTGGTAATGAGCTGATTAGTTGGAACAGATGTGTTCGGAACAGGCAGAACACTAAAATGTGTAGAGCAGCGGGCCTCCAGGACCAAGACTGGGAATCACTGTTCTATGGCATCATGTATAAGAACCCTATTTAACTGAATGTACAGTATTTGATGGAGGTGGATTTATGTTGGGTCAAAACAACTGCATGAAAACATTTTTAGCTTATAAAATACTGATTGTGATTTTTGTTGTGCATCACAACAGCAGTGACTTCATAGATGCTGACATATGATTTTTATGTGAAACAACATTTTTTTTTTTGTTTGAATTGTAAAAACGCATTAGAATTATTGTCCTATTTGTTGTTTTTTAATGCATAATTTGAATTTTATTTTGTCAGTGGTGATACAGAAATATAAACTGGCATTTAAAAAAATACTTACAAGCAAAAACAAAAACAATAATGTAGATCTTGTATGGATATCTCAAAGAAAGAAAGACTAACTCTGGGAAGTTCATGGTTAGTTTTATATTTTTGCAAAAATTGACAGCTTCGTGTGTTGTGAAAAGATTGTGTCAGTGGTGTTATTCCTAAGCATTAAATAATATTAAAACTGAAATAAAATTACAACATGTAAAGCTGTATTTGTAATGTTTTATGTACAATGTGATGAATCACGTAAGTGGCAGTGGACATAACTGGCAGTGGACCACCATTTTGGAAAAGCTC